TACTTTACTAGCTTGATTTGGATCACTACATCACTCATCAGTTCAATACTTTTAAAGCCTTTAGAGTGAAAGATACTTGCATATGTGTGTCTCGTTTGACTACTAATATTTTTGTGATGCAATATCAATGTAGGCCTAATTAGTTCATTGGTTAAACAAGACAAGTGGCTCAATGTGTCTAACCATCTCGGTTTTATTTGCATGAGTTAAGCCTCGTTTGGTGACTGCATAATTAACAATCAAATTAAGATAGATTACGCCTTTTTTTCTTTTTGTGAACATAAAAATGATGAGATTGGACAAACATATAATTAAGAAATTTCACAACTCAAAGTGAAAGAAAGTACCTTCACCACTTATAACATTAATTTCACAAATTAAAAGAGCACACTTAAATAATTCGACAGAAACAACACTTGCAATAACTCAAGACAGAAAACTCAAGAGCACACTTACAATAACTCAAGACAGAAAACTCTAAAGTGGGAGCACAATCTTATCTATAGAACATAGCTAAACATCAACCCAGTGGCCATTTCTGTTGAGGTCCTTTTGTGCTCGGATTCTGATCTTGGTTCCTCTGAAATCGTCAGCCTTCGTGTCGAGAACAACCTTGTCCCCAACTTGGAGGTCTTTGGCACTGACAAACTTGAGCCAACCCGCGGATTGAAGAACAGGCTTTGGGTAACCTTCCTTGCGAATGGCGCAGCAGAATTGCCAGTAAAACCCTACCCCATCTTTGGCCTCCAACTGAACCTCAAAGCTTCCCTTTCCGAATGAAGGCAATATTTCGAGCCATTCAGAAGGAACCGCCAGCCTTCCCTCTATATCTGTCTCAGATAGGTATTTTTCAAAATCAAGGTGTGCCATTTTTCTACTTGTAGATGTATATAACCTCCGGCCACCTGTTGCTTTCTTCCTAGCTTCAATTCAAGCCTTGCATACGACATGTTAGGAGGCATATTAAGAGGAGACCCCCATACTAGAGATTGGAAGTCGCTTCAAAGATTTTGGATACATTTCCAAACATTGTCAATTGACACTATCTAAAAAAGGGGCTAAGGCCACAGTTTGCCAAGCCACGACGAACCAACAGTGGCCATTGATGTATTTGTGGCTCAAAGGCAGGGGAAGAAAGAGGCCCTTTCATTGAGAAATTGCCCTTATGAAGGAACGTTCGTATATTCAGGTTTTCTAGTAGTATGATTTCATTCATTGAATGCTGGCATCCTTTATTGGATAATTGATGTTATCAACTTAACATCGACCGACTAATTAAAGTGGATGATATGCTCGTAGATGTTATATGACAAACACCTCTAAGTGGAGTAATTAAAATGGTCAACGCTTAGGCCCACGTCACATGTTGATGGTCTTTTTTGTTTATTATTCTACTTTCTGCCTAACACCTCTAAATAATCCCTAAACAGTTAAGTAAGCAGCTTGAAATTGAAATAATTAAGAGCAATTATTTATGCACCCGAGGTCTTAGGTTTGATTTCTCATTCTCTACTTTTTTCTGTGTTATCAATAAAATTACTATCGCTTTTACTAAAAAAATACCTCAAAATTTTAAATTTAAAAAAACATTGATAAATAGTAATCTCTCTCTCGGAATATATCTTTAATGCTGAGCTCAGTTTCGCAACCAACCACATTTCTCTTCAACTATCTTAATTTGATTTGTGAAGAATGTTATTATATCATTAAACAAAATATTAAACATAAGTTTCATGGATCGTGTGGTGTCCCTCTCAAGTAGTAAATTTAAAATTGTTTATTGTCACACTCAATCTATGCGGGTTTTTTTTAGAGAACTTAATATGTGAACGTTATAGAATTTGCAAATGTTAGAATCTATGAAAAGAACTTAATCTTTTTTTTTATATAATAGAAGCGATGTTAGAAAAGGAGAAAAATCTACAACTTCAAATGTAAGGGTAAATATTCTTAATTATTTGAGCTATATAAATAGTTACAAGGATAAATATTCTTATGATAAGAACAAAAAGCGCTAAGATGACCACCACAAAAATGCAACACATGAAAAAGAAACAGGAAAAATTGTGTACAAGTCAAAGAAAGATGAAGAAGAAGAAGAAGGGCAAGTGGTCAAATAGATAAACTAATCTAGTCATCATACTCGTTAGGTCATTGTCATTAATTAATAATAAGCACTCAAATAATCTGAACTGGAAGAAGATAAAAATAAAAATAAAAATAAAATATAATAAACTAATTACACCACCATAGCTAGCCAGCAGCACTAGCACTAATTCAAACCTGAGGGCCCACATGTGACATATACATTTTTGTGGTTGAATTTTCTTTGGGTTGGAATTTAGAGGAAATTAAGCTTCTAATAAGGGCTTAATTTCAAAGTGAAAGATACCATAAAGAACACTCGAGATCATAATTAAGTAATTAATTAAAACTGAAAACTCATCATTAATTCAATCATACATCATATTCTGAGTGTAAAAACTTTACATGAACTCATACAAGTAGCTAAACATCAAGCCACTGATCACACCCTTTGTTCAACTTTTGTGCTCTAATTCTGAATTGGGTTCCTCTGAATTCGTTGGCCTCTGAATCAAGAACGATCTTGTCGCCAACTTTGAGCCCTTTAAAGTTGACAAACTTGAGCCATCCCTCCGACTGAAGAACCGGCTTCCGGTACCGTCCCACCCTTCGAATGGAGCAGCAAAATTCCCAAAAAAACCCGAACCCGTCTGTAACCTGAAAATGGACCTCATGGCTTCCTTGTTCAATTGGAGGCAGCACCCTAAGCCAGGAAATCGGAAGGGCAAATCTGCTCACTACATCTGTTTCTGTAAGGTATTTCTCAAAGGGGGCCGCCATTGCTTTATTGAATATGAATCTGCTTACTGTAATTCTAGTGCATTTATATAGGAGGACGACAGGTCCAGGGGTATATAAGGAAATATATGTTTAAAATATATATCTATCACTGAACGTGGATCTATCCGCATGTCAACATCTGAATGATAGAATTATAAGCTATCAATGAGAATCTTCTTTCATGATAATGACTTATGGTTTTGGTTTTCTCTATCATTTTAGTTTTGCTTTATGCTTTTAGTTTTAGTTTGTCTATCACTTGTCCAAGTTGACCTGGGAGATACCAAGGGAGAAGTGCTCCGCCACAACACAAATTTTAATCCCTTGCATATCATCTTTCACATTTTAAGAAATAATAATTATGTTTAATAGAAAATTAGGACAGACGTAATTCGTATACGTGTTATAATATGGATGGACATACAACTATGATGTCGTGGGGATTCGAATTTGAGACCTCTAATTTGCAAGTCAATATCTTTTTCCGCTGAACTATACTCCGTTAGCAAATTGGGTTATGGATTTAAGAGCAAACAATAGGAGTCCATTTTGGTAAAGTTAAGGTACCGGTATATAGAAAGAAAGTATGCAAATGTTACCTTGTATCTGAAATTTGAATTTTGAAATTCATCTGAAATTTGAACCCAAAAATCTTATTCGGAAATTTTATTCGATTATGAATAGTCTTGACACGTAGGAACCCGGAAATATTATCCGAAAATATATTCAAATTAATTATTGAGGTAAAAAAATTTGTGAATAAAACAAAAAAATGAATAGTACGGGTGGAAACACAAAATACTATTTGCAAGGGCAATCACTATTCACATGAATAGTGGCTACCCTAGCTCCCCCCTTGCCATGGCTAAGGGCAAATGGGTGGAGTTGCTCTTAGGTGCTATAGTTTCAACCTAAGGGGGCCTACTTCTGATCTCATGTGTTGCTTCTATATGTGGTTCAACTTATATTAAGCTTTTCAAGTTGTAAATTTGCGCCTACCTCTATCTACACTACGTCCATACATTCATACATATAAGATAATAAGTTTGAGGCTACAATTTAACAATAAAATAATAAAATGGTTAAGAAATATTTGAAAAAGTGCATATCCCACTCCATTTTTGAAAAAAAAAAAAGCTAAGTAAGGAGTGAGGTAGTGAGGTGGGTGTTGACACCCCACTCCTCCATTTGATGAGGTGCAAATTGCTATGAAGATTCTGTGGGTCCCATATAACCTCATTCTAAACGTGTGGCGGTATTTATTTTCAATGTTTAATAAATTAAAATAAATATTTTTTAGGTAAATTAAAATAATAAAGTTGAACAACTTATAGATCACATTACATTATTTATTTATTTTTTGGAGGAAAATAACATAAAATTGACCAGGATTAATTTTTCAGTTATTGGCATCTGGTCATAATAATGGCTAGCCTCAATTCAAATGGTTGCTGGAATTCTAGAAACTTAGAAGGAGAATTGACCAAAACTTCAATTATTAGCTAGCTTTTTCTCCCAAGCTAGCTAATAAGGTTGATGGTCCCAAGCTAGATATTTTTTCTTTTTACTTAGCTAATAAGGTTGATGGTCCAGGACAAACACAATGTGTTCATTCTCTAACTTGACTTGGACCACTATATATATCACTCATCAGTTCAATGTATTTAAAGTTTTAGAGTGAAAGATATGTATATACGTGTCTCGTTTGACCATTAATAATACTGAGATTTTTTGTGATGCAATATCAATATAGGACTAATTAGTTCATTGCTTAAACAAGACAAGTGGCTCAATGTGTCTAACGATCTCGGTTTTATTTGCATAAGTTAATTAGGCCTCGTTTGGTGACTGCATAATTAACAATCAATTAAAATAGATTACGCCTTTTTTTCTTTTTGTGAACATAAAAATGACGAGATTGGACAAACATATAATTAAGAAATTTCACAACTCAAAGTGAAAGAAAGTACTTGACCACTTATAACATTAATTTCACAAATTAAAAGAGCACACTTAGATAATTCGACAGAAACAACACTTGCAATAACTCAAGACAGAAAACTCAAGAGCACACTTACAATAACTCAAGACAGAAAACTCTAAAGTGGGAGCACAATCTTATCTATAGAACACAGCTAAACATCAACCCAGTGGCCATTTCTGTTGAGGTCCTTTTGTGCTCGGATTCTGATCTTGGTTCCTCTGAAATCGTCAGCCTTCGTGTCGAGAACAACCTTGTCCCCAACTTGGAGGTCTTTGGCATTGACAAACTTGAGCCAACCCGCGGATTGAAGAACAGGCTTTGGGTAACCTTCCTTGCGAATGGCGCAGCAGAATTGCCAGTAAAACCCTACCCCATCTTTGGCCTCCAACTGAACCTCAAAGCTTCCCTTTCCGAATGAAGGCAATAATATTTCGAGCCATTCAGCAGGAACCGCCAGCCTTCCCTCTATATCTGTCTCAGTTAGGTATTTTTCAAGCTCAAGGTGTGCCATTTTTCTACTTGTAGATGTATATGAAATCCATGGCATTGGAAGCCTAGCTATATATAGAAATTTTCTGTGGGTCCCCTCCCTCCTCCGTACAACATCACTATCTTCAATTCTCCATCATCCAATTCTCTTCTTCGTCTTCTTTTGTTATAATTATTGTTTCTTCTGACTTTTAAGACTTTTAACTAACTTACAAGGTTGATTAAGAAAAATCAATTCTAAACAAAACTCATTGATTCTGACTTTTAAGACTTTTAACTAACATACAGCCGCATTTCATATGCATGCCACCTCTGGTATTTGGAAAAGTTTGTCTCCTCGATTTGTGGTCTTGGTGAAGCTCCCACACTATCTAAAATGCTGGGAGTGTAAATTCTTGTTCTCTTCCAAAAAATATAAGATTTTGCTGGACACCAAACAATATAAAAATTTCTCTACATTTGATTAGGGTTGAATATAATGAGTATGGTGTACTTATTAAAATTATATTTGTTTCACAATTCAATATATCATATTTGGTCATTTTATATTAGGGTAAATTAGTAAATCAATAAATACTTTGGTAGTAGGGTGTACTTAGTTAATTTTAGAATTTGTTTACCAGCTCTCATTATTTATTGAAAGATCAACCTGTTCTATTACGCTATATATCATCTTCTTCCTTCACGAAAATCCTCTCACCAAACTTTCTTTGCCGATTCTCTTTTGAGACATTGCTCTGCTAAAATATCTTGGTTTTGCTGAACCCTTTTTCTTCTTTTTTATAAGCTCATGAGCCTGTGTCGGCAAGAGATGGCGATCAAATGGAGATGGTGTTGGCTTCAAGTCCACCTGGGTGTGTTAACAGGTGCATGGGTTGCACACCTTGCACCCCTACTCTTGTTGTTTCTCCACACCCTAACAATAATCTCAAGGCACCAAATACAAATCGCAGAGATGGCTATTATTCCCTTGGAAATTAACTTTTGTATTTATTTATTGTTGTTATTTTAAAATAAAAAAAATTATATGTCAAAGAAATTGTTTTTTTTGCTTTTGGAATAACAAACATCTGACTAATAGAAACTTCCTTCAAGAAAACATTTAATTCTTCTAAATGATGATTTTTTTTGTTTTTGTTTTTTTTTATGGTTTTATTATTTTAGGATACTTGCAAATCAATAGAAAAGAGTTTAGTAGAAAAGAGCTTTAACTTGCAAATCAGTAGTCTCAAGTTCGAACCCTAATAACATATTGATAGTATGTGTGTGTATGAGATAAATTCCCTGTAAGCTTATTGCGACGTCATCACTCCAATTTATTTAAAGAATATAGTTAATCATTGTCCTATTGAATAATGTTATTGTAAAGTCTAAACCTTAAAAATGTATTAATGAATACCGCCGAAAGTTCGGAAGAAAACAAAGCGCAGTGAATGGCAGTTGGGCCCATGAAATCTCAATCATGAATCAGGAAGGCCGTGTGTTCTTTTACATGCGCTGACAAAAACACAAAAGGGTCATGCTGCTGATGGAGGAGTGAGGTCACTACCTCAGTCGTCAGCTTTAGAAGATCCGTTTTGACATGTGAGCAATTTGGGCTCCTGAGATCAACAGCATGTGGCTCACATGCACTTTGTCGTCTAATTTCTACCGTTGTCTTGTAGGTTAAGCCAGAAACTTATATAATATAATTTTTGTGGGGACGTTGTACGGCATGAAAAAGATTTAACTTCTTCAACTAGGTTAGCACGCAACACTCTGAGGCACTTGGCAGCCAGCCGCCTCTAAATTTTTTTTTCTATTTACGGGAGGCTTTTGTTTTTTGTTTTTTTTTTCCTTTTATTCTAGTAATTGTATTTATTTTTTAAAAGCACGAAGCCAAAACATGGGGTCTCATGTTTCAAATGGTACTTGAATTAAGACCTAAGCATAATACATCCACCCAAATGTCAAATCACAAACTCCAGTCCTTAATTAGTCCAAATCAAAGTAGTGTTTGTGTGTGACTGCTTCTGAATCTTTACAATGATCTTGTCCATTTTGAATGTGAATGAAAGCCTTGTATTCGTGCATCTTCATTAATTTTGAGTTAAATGTTCACATTTGAATACGATATGAAAATTAAGTTATTCATTTATAAGGCTCAATGGTGATACATGCTCGGATACTCCCAATATAAATTGAACACGTTTAGGCTTAAGAGACCTCACGTGAAGGGCACATTTGAAAATGTAAGTCTTGTGCATGCCACACATTAGGAGGCATATTGAGAGGAAGAAGATTGGAAGCAGCTTCAAAGATTTTGGATATTTGATGTTATATGAACAATTATTAAGCGGGATTTGACATATATATTTATATGTTGCAATCCTCTTATATATAGTTGTACGTGTTTCTATTTTGATTAATAACGTTAATCTATGTTTTGTACATGGTTTGCAGTATGTTTAATCTATGCTTTAATTAGTGGTTGGTCCTCGACTATCAGGTCATAATGTAAAAGCTTTTTTTTTCTTCCATATACAGCTTGTACTGAATTTGATATTGGATCATGATTTCATCATAAGGCTTTGCCTTGTTGTTAAACCCTGTGATACTTGTTGGGGGCATCGGCTTGGTGCTAAACAAAAGTCAAATTCGTGATCAGTCAGGATGGCGTTAGTGCTAAACAAAAGATTATATAATAGATGTTAATTAATATAATTTAATTTAATGGGCAGGCTTAATTTTTTCGAGTTGGATAATAGATGTTATCAACTTAACATCGACCACCGACCAATTCAAAATGTCATAGGCCCACGTCACGTGTTGATGGTTGTTTTTGGTGTTTTCTTCCTATCGATCCTTCTACTTTCTACCTTTCACCTCTAATTAATCTCTCAAAAATTAAATCAATTTCTAACTTAAAAGCATTTTTCATGCATCCGAGGTTCCAATATCGCTTGTTTGTATGTATAAAAAAAATCATCATCAACACTAGTGCTGAGCTGAGTGATCAGTTTTGCAAAATGTTCAAATCTACCACAAGAATTATGTCTAGATACCGACCACATTGCTCTGCAACTATCTCAATTTGATTGTGGTGTCCCTCTCAAGTATTAAACTAATATGGGACCAAGTTTGTCAACCACCACTATGAACTAAGCACGTTTTACGAGGAGGAACATTTTTCGAATAAGACTCAAAACGGTGACAATGACAATAAAAATTAAAATTGTTTACCATAACACTCAATCTATGGGGTTTTTCATGAGAATATAATAGGTGAACGTTATAGAATTTGCAAATGTTGGAATCTATAATAAGAACAATCTTTTTTAATACAAGCGATATTGTGAGAGGTGGGAATCAAATCTAGAATCGCAAATGCAAGGGAAAATGCTCTTAATCACTTGAGCAACAAACATATAACAAGAACAATCTAAAATGACCACCACAAAAATGCAACATGTACATGAAAAGAAAAGAAAAACTAGTACAAGTCAGAGAAAGATGGTGAAGAAAGGGCAAGTATTCAAATAGATACACGTTAGGTCATTGTCATTCACTAATAATCGTACTTAGAAGAGGATAAAAATAATATTTAAAACTCATAATTTCAAACCTGAGGTCCCCCCCACGTATGACATGTACATTTTTACGGTTGAATTTTCTTTGGATTAGAATTTAGAGGAAATAAGCTTCTGCCTCTCTGCATTCAATTTACTTACATATAACACTAGCAACAACAAATTGCAAAAGTAGTGAGGTAGTTGGCACTTCAAATGGTTGAAGCTGGTCATAATAACGGCTAGGTTCAATTCAAATGGTTGCTGGAGTTGTAGAAACTTTGAAAGAGAATTGACCAAAACTTCAATGATTAGCTAGCTTTTTCTCCCAGGCAGAAAGATAAGGTTGGCGGCATAGATAATGGTTGAAGCTGGTCCCCCAGCTTTTGGCTGCTTTCCTTGCCCTCTTTTTTGGCGGCTTTCCAGATTTTTTAGAACTTACCTTAATTAAAACCTACCAGAAGTGGCCAAAAGGTATGTCCTAGTACTTTAATTAAAACCTACCAGAAGTGGCCATTGATGTATTTGTGTCTAAGACGAAACAGATTGAGAATGAGTTGATTGACATGAAATCTCGAAGAGTCCATCTGGTACAGATTGAGTAGGTCCATCTAGTCAGTGTGAAAAACTGAGAATGCCGGCACACTTTGTCAATAATGAGGATATTCGTTTATGGTTTTGTCTATTGTGGTATACTTCTCAAAGTTGACCTAGCAGATACCAAGTGACTTGGTGAAGTGCTTCACCACCACACATATTTTAATCCCTTGCATATCATCTTTCACATTTTAATAAATAATAATTATGTTTAATAGAAAATTACGACAGAGGTAATTTGTATACGTGTTATAATATAAATTGACACACAACTATGATACTGTGGGAATTTAAATTTAAGACCTCTAATTTGCAAATCAATGCTCTTTTTCATCTAGCTATAATCTATTGACAAACTGGGTTATAACTTCAAGACCACAGTTTTAATAGGGCATGATTCAAAACTAAATGAGCAAACAATAGGAGTCCATTTTGGTAAAGTAAAGGTAGATTATATATTCTGCATGCGTTGACAAAAAAGGTTAAAGTCATATTGGTTCGATTAATTCAGCGCTTTGGCCCCACACCACTCGAACATGATATTTTTCCCTCAAGGGGGCCTACTTCTGATCTCATGCGTTGCTTCTATATGTGGTTCAACTTATATTAAGCTTTTCAAGTTGTAATTTGCAATTGCCTACCTCTATCTACACTACATCCATACATTCATAAGATAATAAGTTTGAGGCTACAATTTAACAATAAAATAATAAAATGATTAAGAAATATTTGAAAAAGTGCATATCCCACTCCATTTTTCTTTTTGGTTAAAGATGACAAGAAGAAAGAAAACAACGAATGAATGAAAGTTTATTAGTCAAACTCGATTTTCTTTAATGCTTGCATTATAGTGTAAGATTCTCTTTCTAGTTTCTAAGACTCTACTCATTTTGGAATATGACTAGTGATTTTCTATGTTCAATGTACCTAAATAATATAACTTTTAGAAACTCCTAAATATTTAGCGAGAGAATTTGACTCATAAAGTAGAAAATGTGATTTAAGTTGACATTTTTTAAACACTTCATAAAGAACTTCGTTTTTTTTTTAAATTTAATTTAAAATAGGTCATGACTGAAGATCCCCTAACTTACATAAGAAAATTGAGAGAAAAAGAAAAAAAAAAAAAAAAAAAAAAAAGCTAAGGAGTGAGGTAGGTGGGTGTTGACACCTCACTCCTCCATTTGATGAGGTGCAAACTGCTATGAAGATTCTGTGGGTCCCATATAACCTCATTCCAAACGTGTGGCGGTATTTATTTTCAATGTTTAATAAATTAAAATAAATATTTTTTAGGTAAATTAAAATAATAAAGTTGAACAACTTATAGATCACATTACATTATTTATTTATTTTTTGGAGGAAAATAACATAAAATTGACCAGGATTAATTTTTCAGTTATTGGCATCTGGTCATAATAATGGCTAGCCTCAATTCAAATGGTTGCTGGAATTCAAGAAACTTAGAAGGAGAATTGACCAAAACTTCAATTATTAGCTAGCTTTTTCTCCCAAGTAGAAAGATAAGGTTGATGGTCGGTAGGACAAATGTAAGACCCTTACAAGTTGGCATAGGTCATATCGCTTGTATATATAAAAAATTCCTCAAATTTTAATAAAAAAAAAAAAAAAAAAAAAAAAAAAAAAAAAAAGATAAAATCTTTCTTTCTCAGAATATATCTTTAATGGTGAGCTCAGTTTTGCAACCAACCACATTTCTCTTCAACTATCTTAATTTGATTTGTGAAGAATGTAATTATACCATTAAACATAAGTTTCATGGATCTTGTGGTATCCCTCTCAAGTATTAAATTAATATGGGACCAAGGTTGTGAT